AGCTATGCCACAGCTTTGACTGTTGAGCTTATGATCTTCACGGATGAAGCCAATTCTGTAGAGCCATCTACCACATTCTTGCCACTGATGGTGAGGGTTTTCTTTTCCACTCATTCTGTGACGATCCATTCTCACCAAATATCTATCTTAATCCTAAAGTTCTAAACTCGGGGTTCTTGGCAAACGCCCTTAAAATCCTACATAACATCTGCGGGAGCGGGAAGCGGGATCTCTTCTTCTTCTTTTCGGGGTGTCTACACTGGGTAGACTTAAAGCCACAGGTCGACCTCGAGGACGGCCGTTGGGCCTGAGAGCCTGTATTGTGTTTAAATTCTTCTTCCGGCAAGCTGCGGAGTATCCATTAGCATAAGATTGAAGAGGAGGGGACTCAGCACAGCACCTTGAGGCACCCCCGCCAGCATGGGAAGTGCCTCTGACAGCACCCCATTCACTCTAACACGGGCAGTTCGGGAATTCAGGTAAGCATGAAGCCATCGTGACAGGGCTCCACCTATTCCAGCTCGTGCCAGCTTATAGAGAAGTCCATCAATCCATATTTTGTCAAACGCCCCCTGCAGATCTATATAAACAACCAAACACACTTCAGATGCTGCTTGTGCAGTACGTATCTGACTCTCTAGTCTAATGAGAACATCCATAGTGCTCTTCTGTCGACGAAATCCACATTGACTTGATGACAGGAGTTTCTTGCGATCCACTATGTACTCAAGACGAGGTACTAGGTGTCTAAACAAGGGATGAAAAAGAGATAACAAGCAAGACGATTGTATTCAAAAGGTCAATAGAACAGAGACAATATTACGCCAGCACCAGGTGGCTGGCACACAATTTATTTAAAATTGTAAACGGATGTTTTACTATTGAAATAAGTTTCACTTGATCTAGCAAGTCCTAGCTATATTATTTATTAGCTTGATTACAACCGTTTTTATTTACAAGTTTTTTTCAACAAATTTAACAAATCTGCGCGTTTTGTGACTATACTCGGAATAAATAATACTGATCAATTTACTGTATCAATATTTGGTACGAAAACACACCATTAGATTCCTGAGAAAAATTTCTCTAGATAGATTTTTTTCCAACGTCACAAGTAAATATTTTGCCAGCTTGCATTAATATAGCAGGACATAAATTGGCTTCTATCATGCTCGGTAACGCAGCATACTCAATGACTTATTCATATAAATACCCGGAAGTAACGTAACATTCCTATATAAGTAACAACGAGCGAAAATTTGAATGAAGTACGATTCATGGAGTTTACCTAGTCTCATAAATTTCCAGTCGACCAAATCAGAGTTATACGGGCACAAGGGGGCAAATGAAGTTGCTTCTACATACGATCTGCCAGAACTTGAGGGGACGCAGTATAGACCCCTACATAGCCCTTGCCCACAATTCAATATCTATTCCCTTCCGCTCGTAATCACGCTAGAGGGCATATTAGCCTGTGTGATTAAGTGCCTAAAGCCATAGGTGTCATTTCCTTTCCTGGATATGAATCAATCAGCCAGATGACATCAAGCCACCGAAGCAACAGCCGTGGGCAAATAGCCAAACTGTTGCGTGCTTGTATTAAACACAGCCTGGCGTATTCGCGGATTTTGAAAATAAGCGCCCGACATAACAGCGCCGTTACGTCACAGCCACTGCATCATGGCGCTCTACTCCACAGGCTAAAGCGCAAACCGCCGTCCCTATAACGCCTTGCCCCGGCTCTCCCCCTTCGCAGCCAGCAGAAGGCTTTTCTCGTTGCCCGATCAGTAATGCGTCTGGGCGATGGAGGGACCTAACCTAACCTGGCGCACAACTGATCAGCAATTGAAGAAAGCCTTATGGCTGTGAAGGGGGAGAGCCTGGGCATGGCGTTATAGGGACGGCAGTTTGCGCTTCTGCCCGTGGAGTGCGGCGGGATTACGCCAGTCCTGCTAATAGCAGAGCAGGTTTACGGTGATCCGGCGTGGTCTCACTGGTCTGCGGCCCGTAAGGCTTACGGCGTGTGTAAGAAGTGATAGTATGGGGTGAAATTTTGTGGAGTAGGACCTGTTGACAATTGACTATTTGATTCAGCAGGCTGTGGAGTGAGGTAGATGTTGCTTAAAGTTGATGTGGGGAGATGACTCAGATACGTACAGCTTCTTGGGTGTGAGCTGAGTTTAGTTATTGCATTATAGGGTAGGCGTTGGCGCCAGGGCTTGTTTACGAGCTAAATTTGTGGTGCAGGGCTGCGCTCCCGAGTCGAGCGTGTGCTCTATGTATGCCGATGACACAAAAATTTATAATACAGATAAGGATGCATTAAATAATGTGCAATTGCAAGATGATCTTGACAGTTTAGTTAACTGGGCTCATACATGGCAGCTGCGTTTTAATGCAGACAAGTGTAAAGTAATTCACTTCGGGAAGAACAATGAACAGCAAGACTACAGTATGAGAAGACATGGGTGCAACGAGAGAATGATTGAAAAATCCAGTGGAAAAATATTTGGGATTTTATGTCGCCAAGGAGCTGAAATTTTCTAAGCATATTGAAAGGCAAGTTAATAAATCCAACAAACTTCTTGGACTGATCAGAAGCACTTTCGAGTTCTTAGATGCAGAAGCGATGAAGCAGTCGTTTGTTACTGTCGTGCGCCCAAACCTAGATTTTGAGAACGCCATGTGGTCACTAAAACTTGAAAAGGACAACAATTTTGTGGAGAGTGTTCAAACACGTGCAACAAGGATAATTCCAGGCTTGAAAAGCAAGTCATATGAAGAAAGATTATGAAGCTTCCAAGCCTCAGTCATCGACGTCTGCGTGGGGACCTCATTGAAGCATACAAGTATAGGTACTCATGGTTTATACCTGGTCCCCGAAGGATTACTAGAATTTGAAACAAGAACCAACACCAGGGTAAAAAAACAGCGTTGCAACTCACTCACGAGACAAAATTTCTTCTCGCATCGAATCACCGACATGTGGAACAGCCTCCCCGATTACATTGTTGACGCTCTGAGTACAAAGGCTTTCAAGAACAGACTAGACAAAGCTATGGAGAAATATATGTTCAGACTTGAAATGCCTAGCACCATGTAGAACTCGGTGGAAGTATAGTAGATATTTCAAACTATCGACAGTTCGGAAAAGATCCGGTCGAAGGACGTGTTTTTATATCTCCTGTGGACAAGTCACGAAACGTACAAGAATCGGCGACAGACCATATCAGGCTTATTCTTCAGCGCCGACTTCACAATGTTATGCTATGAAAACGATGAACAGTGACAGTTTTTTTTCACAAGCTCGAGTAGACTCCTGCATACTCGAAACGTACTCAAGGTAACCATGAAGATGAAACATTTAATCCAAACGGAAATTTTTTGCACTGGTGAACAGTTCTATTTTCTATAAAGCGTGGGCAAACGGAAGGCGTAATTGACTGTACAATGAATTGATGATATTTTAAGGATTATTTGTACTAAGGTTTGAGGTAAATACGAAAAAAATAAAAAACGAAACTGTATGTTTCAATGGCTTCTGAGCAAGTAGATGACGAATAAATGATGTCCTGAAGAGGTCTCAAAATGCATCAAATGAAAGAGATGCTCATATAGGTACGAAGATAGTAATTGGCAATGATGCACTGGTGGAACTTCTGTGCAAGAATAAATGCCATAAAGTGATTACTAATGAAATTAAGGAAGATACCTGACAAATGTGTGATTTGAGAGTAGGAAGTTGATTAGTTAAGGGGCCACAAGTTTACTAGCGCTTCAGCTAGCTATCTTACACCGGAAGTCAAGATGAACATCACCTAAGAGGTGGTAGGTCTCAATTATTAGAAGTTTCTCAAATCAAAAATGATTCATCGCCTCATGGGCAGAAGGTCTCAGTTGTTCAAAACGCTGAAGCTGGCGCAGAAGAAGCAGCGTTAGCATCTCAAAGAGACGAAGTGATAAGAAGGGACAGGTGAAAAGCAACAGAAATGGAGACACCCCAACAAGAGGTCGCTTACACGGGACGTCGGCCGCCCGCACGAGAGAGACAGAGAAGGGAAATGTAAGGAACCCTACCTACATAATAACTTAACCCCACAACTGAGACCTACAGTCAGACACCGTGAGTTCAACGGTGGGGCGCTCAGGAACAATCCCCCTGGGAGCACGAAATCCCATGGGACTTCTGACGAGCACAGACACGCGTCAGAAGTAGGTACCCCTTTTTGTCGAGTATATGGAGGCTGTCGAGATTAGAAGCTGCCGAGTCCAGAAATTTTATATGACGAGTAACGAGCCAAAAATAACCAAAACAACAGCATTTAAGAAACCTGCTCAATCACATATCAAAATCAGAAAAGCGAAATATCGATGATATAGTACAGAACATAAAGCATTTGGCTTCAAAATGGACCTCTATAACAACAATTGATCTCATCCCATCATCTTGCTTTTCATTCCAGCAGCGCTAATTCAGTCGAGCCATTGAATGAGCGTGGACGCTTACATTTGGGCGAAGTAAATAGAAACAACCCATTTTTTTAATGTGGTTATGAGCTGCGTGTGAGTTATCAGTAACAGCATCTGCTTGAAACTTACATCATTAAAGCAAACTTAAAAAGGTTAAAAAAACGTAGTCAAATGCTTCCAAACGGAGATATTGGGAATGAAATTCTAATACTTAAGAGTCATACACTGATACCTCTGACAATACGTTTAGAAAAATGTGCGATCCGGTGCGTTGACTTACAGAATGACACGTTTTTAACATCAACAAATTGGTCACATCAATCTCAGCACGGGTTCATGTAGTAATAGGGTTTAGTACTAATATTTACAAGTTCAACATAAACTGATTTCTAAACACATGTCAGGTGATGAAAGAAAACAGCAGCACAGATACGTTCATATCTGAATAATTTATAAGATAAGTGACCATGAAACTACTATTGATGATAAAGATAAGACAATATTTGATGCTAGACAGATTATGGTTCATTTTACTTAGCCTTTTTCTTAGTCTTGTCTGCATGCCTGTCAAAGAATCGTTTCCTTCCTTTACCCCTAAGTTCTCTCAATCGTTCCATTTCTTCATTAAAGTCTTGATGCTCATCACGGAACAAGCCATAATTTCTTAAAAGTCCAATGAGCTCATCTGTCTCTGGGTGACGAATGTAATCATAATAATGAACAATGCCAGGGTCAAGATCAATAGGTTTAGCAGCAAAGCGCTTAAGTGTTTCCATGCTGTTGTTGTCTGTGCGCCGGATGACTTCAGTGAAGAGCTGCCCTCTGAGCTGGTTCATGCGCTTGCCGTAACTTGAAGTGCTTTTTGCCAAGCGGCTGTAGTTGTAGAATCCAGAAGCCACAGGCAGCCGAGACGACATTTTGATAACGATTAGATCCTGAAAAAATGCAATAAATTAATCATATGGAACATAGTCAAAATTTTATAATAGTTACTTGCGTTGTGCATACGATAATAATGTGCATACGTCTGGCGCGCCCAATGCGTTGTGCAAACGATAATAATGTGCATACCTCTGGTGCGCCCAATGTGCATACGTCTGGCGCGCCCATTGTGCATACGTCTGGCGCGCCCAATGCGTTGTGCGTACGATAATAATGTGCATACGTCTGGCGCGCCCAATGCGTTGTGCATACGATAATAATGTGCATACATCTGGCGCGCCCAATGTGCATACGTCTGGCGCGCCCAATGCGTTGTGCATACGATAACAATGTGCATACATCTGGCGCGCCCAATGTGCATACGTCTGGCGCGCCCAATGCGATCTATTGCATTCTAACGCGCTGTAACGCGATCTATTGCGTTCTAAAGCAATCTAATGTAACCCAATGCAATCTAATGCGTTTTAATTCAATCAAATGCAATTGATTCAATTGACCCTAATTAGGGTCAATTGATTAATTGACTTTATACAATTTAATGCGTTCTAGTGCATTCTAATGAAATCTAAAGCAATCAACTAGAAGCTTGATGCATTCTAATACGTTCTAATAAAGTTATTAAATTTTACTGAATTAGGTTGGCTTGAATTGTGCTGGAATGATTTGATTTGGGTTGAATTGAATTAAGTTGAATCAAATTATGTTGCATAGAATTGGGTTAGGTTGAATTGAGTTGGTATGGTTGAATTGAGTTGGTATGGTTGAATTGAGCTGGTATGGTTGAATTGAGTTGGTATGGTTGGGTTGAATTGAGTTGGGTGTGGCTGAATTGGGTTGAATCAGGTTGGAATGAGTTGAATTGGTTTTGGTTGAATATGGTGGAATCAAGTTTAATTTTGGTTGAATTGAGTTAGGTGGGGTCAGGGTTGGCAATGATTAAATCAAACTGATTAACCCTTTACCGCCCGAATTTCTTCGACAAAAATCGTAAATTTCACTTTTCCGGTTTTTAGTCTCACCTTAAAGCTGACATTCTGACCTATCCAACGGTACCAAGATCATATCTGTACGTTGATTTATGCCTTGACGACAGTTCGCGAAAGGGTTAGGGGTGGGGGAGTACTTTCACATTTAATATAGGCGAAAATTACTGGCCGGGCACATAAATAGACGACCTGAAGATGCTGATCTTTAGTACCCGGCTGCTGTCATGTGGGATGGTGCTCATGCAGTCGTTCCCACCATCTTTGACTGAATTTCAGCACCAGTAACGTATAGTCTTGTATCCAAGCCACCTTGAATGCCTATTTCGAGGCGCTCGGGACTTTGCCGCGCTCTACTGAACATTCACACTTATTGTCACTGCAAACCTATCTCCTCCTAGAGTTTTTAAGCTACAGCAATGAGAGATATACCGTTCAATTAAAAAATAAAAGATCCAGAGATTGGTCGTAGCTTTTTTTTCAATTTCATTATAGTTTTGAAAATATTTGGAAAAAAGGGGGGAGGGAAATTTGAAAGGGGTGAGGGGAGAAATCAAAATTTTTTGAAAAATGCCCACCCCACCCACAAAAATTGAAATTTCGAAAAACAGCAATGACCAATTGATAGATATGGTCCTTAAGCATCAAATGATATGCGTCTCGATGTTGTAGCTTGAAAATCCTGGGAGGAGATAGATTTCTACAGTACTACCCCTATTTGGCGGTTTTTTAAGAATTTCACATTTTCTTTCATTTTTTTGAAAAATTCACATAAACAAAAAAGTTTTAGATTTATCTTTTACATATATGTACCAAGTTTCAAAGTGATCTGTTTGTAAATAACTGAAATAAAATTTCCACAATAAATTGGAAATTGCCATTGGAAATTGGAAATTTTATTTCAGTTATTTACAGACAGATCACTTTGAAACTTGGTACACATATGTAAAAAATAAATCTAAGACTTTTCTGTTTGTGTGAATTTTTTGAAAAAATGAAAGAAAACGTGGTTATTAGAAAACCGATGGTTTTTTTAAAGGTGACTTGAAAGTCCGATTTGGTGGTAAAGGGTTAAATCCAGGGTTGGCAATGATTAAATCATGTGATTAAATCACTTGATTTTTTTATAAAAAAATCATGCTTTTTTTGATTTTTTCATATATTTAAATATATTGAGTGGCAGTCTTTAATTAATATTGAGGTATTGTTATTCATTGTTTAGTATATATGTACTATGAATGACAAATTGGTATATAAACTTGTTGCCTTTAGTGTGTATTAGGTTCCAATAAATTGTATGTTTTTGGTACAGAGGCATCAAGTGTTGCAATACATTGTACATAGCTAGCAGCTTAGCTAATTCTTATAAGGCTATAAGTAGTCTCTAACTATTTGACTATTTGTCATATATTGATTACAATATACAATTTAAATGTGCTAGCTAGCTTATACAGGGTGGGGCAGAACTGATTGAACAGTTTTGAGGCAAAATAAAAGAGTAATGGAGGTACATAAAGAAGAAAGTTTATTTTCCTCAAGATTAGCATAACATACCATTTAAAATACTTATGTTTTGAAGACAATATCAGGAAGATGGGGTTAGTTAGCTGCATCACACTGTTTGAGTTGATCTTGGAAGTTTCCTACAGCACGTTCACACATATGGCAAGGTATGGCCATAACCTCTGCAATAATCCGTTCCCTTGGCTGTGGTAGGGTGTGAGGGTGACTTCTGAACTTCTCTTTTAGATGTCCCCAAAGAAAGAAATTGCAAATGCTCAAATCAGATGACCTCGCAGGCCACTGTAAATCACCCCTCAGAGTCTGGGAACATGCGTTTCAAAACATTGAGTGACATTCGGGCTGTGTGAGCTGTAGCCCCATCCTGCTGAACCACACGTCTCCCAATGCTTCATTTTCAACAATGTTTTCCATCCTGTGCTGCAAGAAATTTGCAACATAGCAGCATAGTGATCGGAATTCACTGTTGTGGTTACTCCCTACCCTGAGAACGACTCCAACAGTGTGTTGCTGCTAACGGCCCCCATCTTCCAGATATTGTTTTCAGAACATAAGTATTCTAAATGGTATGTTATGCTAACCTCAAGGAAAATAAACTTTCTTCTTTATGTACCTCCATTACTCTTTTATTTTACCTCAAAACTGCTCAATCAGTTCTCCCCCACCCTGTATATTGAGAGGTTGAGATTGTTTTGACCTTTTAGGCAATTAGAAAGATTTCCCACCCTAATACAAGTATTCTAATTAAAATATTTAATTTCAATCTTTAAATATGTGAATTTAAAACTAGAAACAAAACAATTACCATTATAAGACTATATATAAAATAATTAAATGCAGTGAATGGATGTAAAATACTTGAATTGTGCACATGTTTATTTCAAACAGTACCTATTAGATTTTCTCATAACTCAAGTCTCGTTTCAAGTTGTATGAGGTTTGTTTGGTTATCGTCCAGTTTGTTTAGTATTGGTTTATTGGTCTGAATTAAATGGGAACAGTGCAGTCAGTCACTACTAGTCAGTGTGTATAGAGGGTAGAGTCTGGGTAGATTTATAGGACGTAAAACTAGTAGATCTATTGATAGTGCTGTGCACTGTGCTATCAGCTACCTATCTGTTATGTGACTTCAAAGTTCAATGTTTAGAAGATCTGCATTCCTGAAGTGTTTTTGTATATTGAAGCCAGTTAAATGGTCACTATTTAGCTCATTACCTTGCTCCATACAAACTTTACAAAGCTAATGAATAGACTTACCAATAATTGTTTACCCAAAAATCCCTAAGTGGTAAACACCACCTTGGCCTGTTGGCCATTATTGAAGGCAATAAGTGCCCTTTTTAGCCATCCATTATGATCCATATACTGTTATTGTTAGTAGTAATTGCAACATAAAAAATAACACTTCAAAAAGACAAATAAGTTGAAAAAATCAAATAAATCAAAAAATTCTTGAAAAAATAAAAATAAATCATTTATTTTTGATTTTTTTTTATTTTTTTAAAAAAATCAAAAAAATCACTAACCCTGGTTAAATCACTTGATTTGTTTATAAAAAATCTTGATTTTTTATATATTTAAATATACTGAGTGACAGTCTTCAATTTATTTTGAGGTATTGTTATTCATGGTTTAGTATAAATGTACTATGACAAATTTGAATATAAACCTGTTGCCTTTAGTCTTAGTGTGTATTACATTCCAATGAATTGTATGTTTTCAGTACAGAGGCATCAAGTGTTGCAATACATTGTACATAACTAGCAGCTTAGCTACTAATTCTTTTAAGGCTATAAGTAGTCTTTGACTAACTATTTCACTATTTGTTACATACTAATCCATTATACAATTTACATGTATTAGCTAGATTATATAAGAAGGGTTGGTTGAGATTGTATTGACCTTTTAGGCATTTAGAAAGATTCTAATGAGTATTCTAGATGAGTATTCTAATTAAAATATTTAATTTTAACCTTTAAATATGTGAATTTATAACTAGAAACAAAACAATTACAGTAATAAAACTATAGATAAAATAGTTGAATGGAAATAGTGAATGGATATAAAATGTTTGAATTGTGTACATGTTTATTTCAAACAATGTTAGCTTTTCTCATAACATAAGTCTTGTTTCAAGTTGTCTGAGGTTTGTTTGGTTATCATTCAGTTTATGTTTAGTTTACTATTGGTTAGGTAATTGGTCTGAATCAAATGAGAACAGTGCAGTCAGTCACTCAGTCACTAGGTAGTAGTCAGTGTGTTTAGAGGGTAGAGTCTGGTAGATTTATAGGACATACAACTAGTATCATCAACCGGGGCTACTCGGGACGATTTCGAACATTTCTCATTCATAACTTCTTACCATGAAACATTTCATAAACAAGTTTAGGCTCATTTCAAAGCTCTTTGCAAGGGCTATCACATGGCTTCTGCAAAAAATTCCATATGCTATTCGTAAGGTGCCAGAAGCAAAAAAAGTGTCCTGAGTAGCCCCGTCAAACGGGGCAACTCGGGACACTTGGAATAAAACTTCATTTTTAAAACATTTTTTAAAACATTTTTAAAAACCTTTTAAAACATTACTAACAGTACTCTGAAGTCCTCCTTTTTCATTGTAGATGATGTAGAGGTAGAATAAATGACATTTTCTTTGATTTTACTTGTTTTTCCTTTATTGATACGATATTACCATATACATTAATTACCATATTATTGATGCGATATTACCGTATCCATGAACATGCCATTGAGCATTTACAACAACCTTGTCCACTGCAAGCTTCATATCAGCAGCATTATAGCATTTTTTCTGTATCTGTAAGCTTACAGGAAGGCTTGTAATTTCACACCATTTTAATTGGGTTAAGTGAATTTACTATAAAAAAAGATTGTGAAAAACATACCTGAAACAGAAAGGAATGTTTTAGTGACAACCATCATATGTTTTGGAGAAATAAATCATAGTTTAGGTCAATTACTTTTCATTCTATGATGCCTGATGCACAATTCTATATACAACATTCTATGCACAATTTTGTGATGACCGATGATGCACTAATTTTTTGATAAGTGAAATTTTTTTTGCTGAGCGAGGTAAATGTAATCAATATTCTTTGTTTTTAATCAATTTTTTTTAGGGGGTGTCCTGAGTAGCCCCGCCGTGTGGAAATGGCTGCCATTTTTTTTTTGGATTGAGGTATGTAAATTCTGCAAATAAAGTTTTAATGCTGACACTTGTCTGCCACTTTTTTCTAAGCAAAATTTTTTAGTATGGCAAATATTTTTTTTCACTACAGACCTTAGCAGAAGTAACTTTTCAAAATATCATTTTTCACAATTTTTTTCAGGAATTTTTCAAAGCTAGTAAATGTAGTATTTTTGACTTCCTTTATACCACATAGATAGGAAAAATGTTTATGTTTACGCCACTATATTTAGCTTTGCAATATTCCAATTAGTTTTGCTACTAAAACAGTTTTACACCAAGTCGGAGGACTGTCCCGAGTTACCCCGCCTGTCCCGAGTAGCCCCGGTTGACGGTAGATCTATTAAGAGTGCTGTACACTGTTGATATATACTCTCACACTCTGTCACTCACAGCCATCAGAACTGCACACTACAGCATCTAGTTCTGGTGGCTATGACTATGAGTGTGTGTGCTTGGGTGCTCAAATATACACTCTCACAGCCATCAGAACTGAGCGCTACAGCGCGTAGTTCTGGTGGCTCTGAATGTGAGTGCATATGCTTGAGTGCTCAAATATACACCCTCACAGCCATCAGAACTGCGCACTACACTGACTACAGCGCGTAGGTTTGGTGGGTGCCGGGTGGTGGCTCTAAACACGTATGATTGGGTGCTCGTGCTCAAATATACACTCTCACAGGCAACAGCCATCAGAACTGCATGCTACAGAGTTCCAGTGGCCATCTGCCTGATTATTGTTCTTGCCAAATTTCTTTCATAACAATTATAAAAAATTATACATTATTATCTATAATTTTAAAATTGCTAAAATTTTGTCTTATTATCTTCAAAAAATTTGCCAAATATTCAACATTGAGGGTTGAGGCAAAATTTTACAGCATGCTGGAAACTGGAATGTGACAGCAATAACAGCATTAAGGAATGATATATTTAGAAATGGGAGCCTACCGTATTGGCGTATTCTTGATCCAAATCCAACAAAAAATAGTAAATTATAATAATATATACGGTACATGACTAACATGACTCATGAGTGACTCATGAGTAACATCACTAACATGACTTGGAAACCACAAAATTTCATATCTAATTAAGCAAGGGGGCAAAGGCCAAGGCTGGCATCTTGGCAAGCCAATGAAGCCATAGGCATTCTTTCACATTCATAGGTGACTTCTGTCAAGTTCTGTGTAAACAGTAACTTTCCAGTTAACTCTGCAAACTTGCAAAGTGGCCTTCTTAGAGTTAAACTCTGCTAAAAAATCTGAACTTCTAATTCAGATTTCAGGGCAATGGAATGGACTCTGCACCCTGGTAGCCGCTGCCGGGCCGGCTGCGAGCGGCGGGCCCCGCCGAGCGGGCAGCTAGTACAGTAGTACCTACGTAGTACTAGTATAAGTAGGTACATATCTTTCTTTCCTGAAATTCCTGTGAGACTGGGAATAATTAGCAATTTAGCATTTTTAATAAATAGTAGAAATTTCTAGTCAATATAAAATATTAAACCTTCGTTGGTTCTACGTCAGCCCCGTATTATATATTCATCTTAAAGCATTACACCTCTCTCGTAAGTCGTAAGCGTCTACGGGGTTTTACCTGGAGGCTGGAGCCTGCGGTCTCGACGGCAACTCAACCTGCAGAGGCCAAAGACGAAATATATCTCCGCTCAGCTGCAGGTATACATCCGATGCAACGGACGGCTGGAGCTATAAGCTTCACATAACCGAGTTGTAGGGAGCATGGTTGAACCTCCCTACCATGGTAGGGAGGTTGAAGGGGAAGAATAAATAATACCTCACCAATAAGATATAATGGTCGCAATTCTTCTAACTATAGGGCAAATGAAAAAGAATTGAAAATTGGTATTCAATTTAAATTCCAATGTTTCCAAATTGAATTTATGATAACTATTCATGAGTTCTACTGAGAAGGAGTTATATTTTCAGTTAATTTCGTTACATTCATTACATTAATTGCATTCTGACTGAGTGGATAAAAAGAAGAACATTCTACAGAGAATTATTCAATAGATTCCTATGAACACTACAATAATTTATAACTTTAAGAGAATGTATGAGCATAAGTAGCGATAGTCGAATACAGAATGAGCTATCTGCTGCCTCAAACTCTAAAATCGAGGAAAGATCAAGTCTAAATTAAATCAATAGATTAAAATTGCCGGAAATACTTGTAACTGATGAGTGATGAAAGTATTGTGCAGTCGATAAAAAATCTCGAATGCAGGCAATAGCAGATTGCATATAAATATTTTTTAGTGTGTACCAGCGTAGGTTTTAAAATCTGAGTCGCAGTTAGAGTTACGGCACTTGTGAGGAGTCGGCGCAATGACGTCATGAAAAAGTATGTCTATTCTGAGCTGCTGGCTAAAGGCTGTGTTTGTTCCAGGCATCTTTTACTTTTTCATGATGTACTCATAAAAATGAATGGGTCTGATTGTCCGAATAGTGGATCTCTTTCCACACGTAACCAAGGTCAGGAGGATCGCCGCAAAAGTAAAAAAATCAGGGCTATTTTGGACAAAGTTCCGCTCATTTTTTTGCGTTCATGTAATGTTACACAAACGGAAGAAAGTTATTTGAAATTTTCCCTATTTTTTCTCGTGTAACCTAACACAATTGCTGCAAAAATGAGGCTGACGCTTGCACCGGTTTTTTTATATTGTGAAAACACCGCTGGCCTCAAGAATTTCATATATAAGTAAAACCATCAAAACAACCAAATTTGGTCGGATGATTTCCAAATCAAAAATTTCAGAAAAAAGGTGAAGTTCGAATAACCATTTATCGAATAACCATTTAAAAATATCGAATAACCATTTTTAAGCGGATAAAGTCTATAAACATTGTCCAGACAATGTTTTCGTTTATTTTTCGTTCATATTTTTTCAGATATGAGCATTTAATTCGATCCTCTTACAAGAATAATGGTATGCAGTACGTATGAGCGTTTGTTGGCAGTTCGGCCTGATCGACACTGCTGGAGATGTTTTACCATTCTATAAAGTGGTTAGCCCATCCCCCTCATTCTGTTGTGCGCCTTCACTCCGAACGTGTGTAATTCAATTTTTGATCACATCCCTGTAAATTTGGTAGTTCAATAGATTATACATGTATTTCAAAGTTTTAAAATTTATAATCTAGCTGACAATTGAAACATTTTCATAAGAAATATGACATTTCTGGCACTGTCTTCAATATCTCATTCATGATCAATTTGAGAACTCGAAAAGAAATAATATCTATTGTAGAATAAAAAAAAAGATAATAAGAATGCTAAAAAATAACAGATTTAATTAAGTGTATATATAGGTTTTCGCCATGCTTATAAACTGTCGGCTGTTGAACAGTTGCAGCTAAAGTGTAACTGCATGCATGTTAAGAACTTATTTTATGCGTTAACATACGCCATTGTTGAACAATAACGGCACCAATATAGCTGTCTGTGTGCTTGGAACAAAATTGTGCACATTTCCTTATTAACGTCCTGAACAATAACGGGTCCAAAAAACAGCAAGCACAATATAATTGCATGGAAGCTCAGAACTTTTTCGCGCGTTATTTTACTTAATTGTTGAACAATAACGGCTTCAATGCAGCACAGTAATGGTGTGCATTGAATACCACGAGGAACGATGAAGCATGTGCTTGGTGACGTAGCATGTGGCGAGCTTCTGGCAACCGACAGAGCCTGAAACCCTTGAAGGTTTCTGTCTAATCCCCTTAGGTTAATCACCTCTCCTGAGTCACCGCTAATCACCCTATATAAAGTGAGGGACTCATGCTTCTGATACCTCAGTCCAGGCCTTCGGAGCCTCCACGCAACTTCATCCACCTATTTTTATCAGTGTCTTCACACAACTCCAACCAGTAATTTTTATAGTTCCCTTGTTTTTCTTCTTTGTTTTCCTTCCGTACGTTCATGAGTTGTATGCCTTGAGATGATGGTTTATTTGAGATAAATAATTACATTAAAGAATACCATAAAAAAACTTAGAATCATATTTCTGCCAAAAATTATACTGAAACCTTACGTTTTGATTTGAAGATAAAATACAAATAAAAATGTTCGTCATTTGACTTCTTTCTGATACGTAAAACTTTCTGTAAATTATGTTGTACATGCTTATTTTAGTTATTAGAATGCTATCATTAATATTTTTATACATACAATTTCTCCATTTTTATTAGTTTAGCATCTTTTCGTTTCACGCGTTTTCAAAATTCAGCTGACGAGTTATTTTCTAAAATTTTGAACAAAATGTTTGGTCGAACATGGAAAAATCAACAGAATTATTGAAATTGGATTCAGTTTTGGACAGAAAATAGATCCGTCCAATCATGACATCAGTATTTATCAATTGGATATAAAAAGCTGATGGCAGGAGTAAGTTCTGAAGTTTGCACCGACTACCTGCAATTGAATTCATGCAGTCATGAAGTATAACGTGAATGACCTCCGTTTAAAATTATTGTTATTGATCTAATGGCTTGGCACCAAGTTATCTCACTTTTCAATCTCTATGCTACTATCCATAAATTTCTATGCCTATTCTATCAGACACAATAATCTATGTCCATGCTGCTAGTGACAATTTTTCATGCTTACTCTCAATTTTCTATGCAACTAGTCACAATTTTCCATTTTTCATGTATATAGTCCCAATTTTCTATACTACTAGCCAGAATTCCCGGCACTCGTTGCTCCTGGTGTAATAAAGATCTCGTCGTGGTAAGGTCCTCGCGTCAAGATGGTGGTGCAGTTCAAAGTGTTCAAGAAGGCCTCGCCTAATGGCAAGCTCACACTCTACATGGGGCGCCGGGACTTCGTCGACCACGTCACCTCCGTCGATCCCGTCGGTAAACTCACGCCCTATTTCTCAATACTCTAGCGATGTCAGCGTTCCTTAGGCCGTTAGACTTGTTGCCAATTATGTACATCGCAGAATATTTACAGATATTTTCAGTCTCGAACACGCAACTCGTTGCATCAATTTTGCGTTTCTTAACCACCTGGCCACACACTGTGTGTTTATTGAAACGAGCTGACGTTATAACTTGGGTTGGGTATATTTATTATATGTGATTTACAGCTTTAAAAACTGAAGTCTTATTTCAGATGGCGTGTTGGTTGTAGACACGGACTACCTGCAAGGGCGACGTGTGTTCGGGCAGTTGGTCTGCAGCTTCAGGTATGGCCGAGAGGACGACGAGGTCATGGGCCTCAGCTTCCAGAAGGATCTTTTCTTGGCTTCGGAGCAGATTTACCCGCCAAAGGAACTGGAAGCCACTCGTCTTCAGGAACGTCTTGTGAAAAAATTAGGAGCCAATGCTTACCCATTTACTTTCAAGATGCCGCCCAACGCTCCCCCTAGCGTCACCATCCAGCCAGGCCCCGATGATGAAGGCAAGCCGTGTGGAGTCGAATACTACATCAAGATCTTCGTCGGAGACTCTGAAGAAGACCGCACCCATAAGAGGTGCGAGATTTGTTTCCATTAATTGTGTTAAAGGATTCCGTCGAATTTGAAATTTTTATCCGTAGATTTGGTGGGGGCCTCTGAAGAAGACAGCACCCACAAGAGGTGCGAGATTTGTTTCCATTAATTTCATACGAAGAATCTGTTGAATTAAACAATCTAACCCGAAGATTTAGCTTTATCGTCCTTTTGTAACTTGCTTAAAAGTTTTTCCTTTTTCTTGCAGGTCGACGATTGTCTTGAACATTCGCAGGATCCAGTTCGCCCCCACCAAGACGGGACGGCAGCCGTGCACCATCGTGCGCAAAGACTTCATGCTCAGCCCCGGCGAGCTGGAGCTCGAAGTGAACTTGGATAAACAACTTTACTATCACAACGAAAAAATCACTGTTTACATCATTATTAGGAATCATAGCAACAAAACTGTGAAGAAAGTGAAGACTTCCGTGCAACAGTCGACTGACATTTGCCTGTTCTCAGGAGGCCAGTTTCAATGCACCGTGGCCAGCGTCGAGACTCAGTGAGCGGTGGTTCAGTATTTAATATTTTAAAATATAAATGGATCTTAAGAAGTGCCTCTTAAGCCTCAATAGTACCTCTTATTTTGCGCAAGTACTAGCATAATCCACTGAACTTGAATTCAATTTGCCAATTACAACTTGTTTCTCTCCAAAGTAGGGTTGTTCACAGCCATTCTAAGCTGCAGTTTTTCACAAAAGTTACATAAATTTTTCACGAGGAGAATTTTTTGCTGCAGGGAAGGGTGTCCCGTGAACCCGGGGTCGTCGCTCCAGAAGGAACTTCAGCTGCTCCCATCCCTGGACATGAACAAGGACCGCCGGGGCGTGGCTCTGGACGGTCACCTCAAGACGGAAAATACCAACCTGGCCTCTACCACGCTGTGCGTTATGTCTACTTTATTGTTTCTACCACACTGTGCGTTATGTCTACTTTATTGTGCCTACCACGCTGTGCGTTATGTCTACTTTGTTGTGTCTACCACGCTGTGCGTTATGTCTACTTTGTTGTGTCTACCACGCTGTGCGTTATGTCTAGTTTATTGTGTCTACCACACTGTGCGTTATGTCTACTTTATTGTGTCTGCCACACTGTGCGTTATATCTACTTAACAGTGTCTACCACACTGAGCGTTATGCATACTACAATATTTGTCCTACTGTATATACGACATTTCATGTTGTCTCTCTTTCTGAGTTTTACTAGTACCTATGCCTCCACTTTGTGTGCCATGTATACACTGCGATTTATTCTCACTAACTGAACATTAAGTCAAGTATATTGTATGTTTACAAAATTTTATCTAGTGTCAACGTTATTCTGTTCTATGCCAGTTCCCCCCAGTTTGTTCAACGAATTTTAACCCATTTTGCTGGGCCAATCCATATTCACTGTCAAGCTAGTATGCACATCAATCGATTCTGTATCTGAGAATATAAATATGTATTAGCATTATGCTGGGTCCCTGTAATCCACTAAATTACTCCCTACCATATATTTGTCCAATATATAATATTTATGTATTGGACTCTAATATGAAAAAGTTTTAAACCAGGTTGGCTAATCCCGAGGACCGGGACATGTTCGGCATGATCATCTCGTACAGCGTGAAGGTGAAGCTCTACCTCGGGGCCATGGGTGGCGAGGTCACTGCTGAGCTGCCCTTCGTCCTCATGCATCCCAAAGTGAGTCTTACATTTTACTGTTAATTTTTGTTAAATTAAATTTAGCAGTTAAATTTTTATTCAATAGCTGGTGAGCAGTTGATTTTTGAGCAACTGTTGTTTGTCAGTAAAACGTTCATAACATTGAGGTCCCGCAATTGTGGGATCGAGTGTTGACGAACAACTGGACGAAGAGCTGGATGGAGAGTTTCAGTAGGACCTCAATTTAAGTTCCTCGAGTATCATCAAGTGCATTATTAATACAACTGTGAATCGAGCTTTTGGAAACGGATGAGGATAAAAAAATTCAATATTGTTCATGTTCAAAGATAAACAATTCTATTGCACTTATAATCACGCACAAAATCTTTATTATTATACACGCATACAAATTCGCAATAACTGTGAATACATGCGAAGTTTTTCTATATTTTATATTCAAATAATAGAAGCAATTCCATCGCCCTATCATCATATACTGCATGTGACTCGTTATACTAATACACCACTATATTATATAATTACATAAGACTTTTATGCTACTTACATTACTAATTTGTAATAATCATGTTCAGCCTGATCTGCGCCGCATGATGCGTGCCGACAGTCAAGCGCAGGTGGAGGCCTTCCGGTCTGATAGCTTCGGCGCCTCGCTCGACATCGACGCTCAGGACGGCTGAACTTCGTCGGGAGAAACTTGCGCGCCGTTTGGTTATCCCATGTGAATGTGTTTACTGAATTGAGCAAAATTGCGTACCGTTTGGTTCTCTTGTGTGAAAATTGTTTACTGAATTGAGCAAACTTACGGACCGTTTGTGTCTCTCGTGTGAAAATTGTATACTGAATTGGGTCCTGTTGGTGTCACTCTTGATGTCTGATGATAAGTATCGCGACAACAGGAAGATTCATTACAAAGTTTTTGATTTTTTCTTTACATAAAGTTAACGAAATATATCTCCTTAGACGCTATATTGAATAAATATATCCAAAAAATATATTTCGGGGAGACAATATATCAAATATTAATATTCCAGAGGTTTCCCGCTAAACCCTATATGTGTAAATCCACATCTCTGTTCATTTTCATTTCCCCGAAGCCTATTTTAGATTATTTATTTTTGAGATTATTATTACTATTATTGAGATCATTATAATATTTTTTGAGATATATTTGAGATTAACAATTTGTATCCATTGAGAAATTTTATTTTTGCAACTTAATAACATAATTTTTCTTTTGATTAATAATTTTTGAGTTAACGCTCTGCGACGTAAAGTTTGAGCGTTACGTGAAGGCACTCGGACCAATATTGACGGACGACATGAGGCATTTTGATTATTTTGGTTGAACGATGATAATATAAGTGGTTTTCATTAATCTTCGTGTATAAATAGATTACATGAACAAATTTGTTGAAATACTCATGGAAGCGTAAACTGGAGTTAATAATATTATTGATATCAAATGTAATTCTTGTGTTAAATTATTTATAACGAGCACGACCCTACGATACGACTTGCCTTATTATGGGATTAGTAAAATATAATATAATCATGTAGTAACAAAATCGAAATATATTCCACGCAGCTGTAAAGCGGGACTTTGACACCTCTATTCAAATTCGAATAAAATTATAATCGAAAATTCGTTATTATTTTACCTCAAGAAAATCCTTCTAAATGTGCACACGGTTTATGGCAGGCGTGTCTCTTATAATGTTTGGCAATTACTTAAATTTGCCTTAATATCCATTTAATTCCCTAAATGATGAATATTCGGAATTAGAGCGTAAAAATTGAACCTGTCCCAGCTGGCTGATCGTTCGTAGCTGTCATACTTCATGTAAGGAAAAGGTTTCGATTTATTTCATTTAAAATTGTTTTTAATAGCGGAAAAACGCTACGATATGTCAGTTAATCTGCACTCGATGAAAATTTATTCAATGTTTCTCCAAGGCTGATACAGTGAAGACATCCACACAGAGCGTTTCTACACGAAGTCCGCAGGCTTCTGCAGGGTTGCGTGCAAACTCCTGTATGATCCGTCCAAACCTGCGGCAGGAGGCATGCAGGATGCATGCAGACTACTGCAGAAAGCCAACAGACTCCGGTAGGGGGCATACCGAACGCATGCAGCAAGCTTACAGGACAGTTGAGCCAGTGAAAGCTGTTCTGTGGCTCCAAACTGGGAAGAAATTCAGGTACATGAAAGCGCACGTAAAAGTTTTTCTTACCGTAAAGCACTCAAGAAAAACACGCCATTGTAACAAGTTTCCCAGCTTTTTACCTGCAGTTTCCCGAGAAAGGATAACCGGCAAACAGTTTTATAAGAAACTGATTTTTGACATATACAACAGGTCTCATACTATTCATAAATTGCAAACTTTATATGAATCGACTGAAAAAAATAAAAATATTTTCCCGCAAATAGAACACCAGACTTATTTAAATTCAGAGCGCAGTATATTTATATAACCCTAAAGATTGTTCGAAATTAATACCTAACTAGAGATCTTCCACCATTTGTTATCATAACACAGTATAAATGTACGTTTACATTACTTTGATTATTAGCACTACTTATTATAAATATGTATGAAAATTTGTGTCATTCGTTCTCATGACACAGTAAAATAGATTATTGTTAAATAACAATAAATAATGAACTCGAAAATTTATATTTATTCGTACATTAAGCGGGTAACGACGAATTGTTTGCAAAAAGTAATTTCTCTGCCAGAATAACTATAGTGCAGAAAATAGTTTTTCGAATTAAACCGATTGGGTACAAATAAAAGGCCACACCCACGAAAAGGCTTTAAAAATGCACGCGCTGCTAAATAAAGGCGATTAATAAAGAGAAAGAGAGAACCGGAACGAGCAAAATATTCGATTAATAAAGAGAAAGAGAGAACCGGGGTGCGCCGATCGCTTGGAAAGCAGTTCGTCGAACTGGTCTTGGTAAATGCCAGCCGCTCCACCACTCCCATGCATACGCGCTTTAAATTTAATAATTATCCTGAACGAAAAATACAACTTACGTTAATTATTTAAGAATAAAAAATCATTTTTTAGTAGCATTACTGTTTGAAGAAAAATCGCTCACAGGCAAGTTTGTGTTCGAAGGATGTGCATTTTTAACGATTGCGGTGAAGATATGATGAGTAATAATTTATAACACAAATTAATTCACTCATTGAAATTTCATAAATTTCATCTCACGGGTGGATCATTAATATTTTAATAGAATTCTGCTACTGAGATAAGAGTGTTCCGTAACTTCTTGCATTTAATAAATATGAAACAGAAACAAAGTAAATAAGTGCGCGACTCTCTGGGATATTAATTTAATTTAAAATGGAATCAGGCTCATTTCATTGTGCACTTTTTTTAATTTATTTGTAACATTAATTGCATGGGAAATAATGCCAAGTTTCTTACAACATTACAGATTTCATTTGTTCATCTACATTTAAAATAAAGCGACGGCCCAAAAAGTGAAGAATGAGGCCAGCAAGCAAGGTGTAGATGCAATATCCGGTGTTATGGCATGACCATGCATGCTGTGAAAACTCGCTAGGTAACTGATAATTGAGAAATAAAATTTAATGCAATCTAAAACTGAACTTTGAATCCATTATTTATTCGGACTCATTAAGTGGTCTGATTAAATTTGTGAAAAGTCATTCGGCAATTGCACACGCTCAGCATATATAGCCCCAGAGCAGGACGAGCAGTTCAGATTTCATGGAAAGTCCTACCGTTGATTGAGACCCGGATATATATATCATATATTTCCTGGTATATACGTAATTACGTATAAAATATATATATCCAACAGAGCTCTAGTTTCGCCGAAGAAGCTCTGTGCCAGTGACACGATTAGCGCAGGTTGCAATATATGACCTAAAAAACACTTTCATTGGATCATGCCATTAATACTTCTTTTTATTCTGGTATGATAAAAAAATATTATGCTGTATTTACAGTAAATAAGAGTATGTTGTAAAATTTTGCTAAACATGTATGACTTTGTTTTTGCCTTTTAAATTTCTTATGTTTTTTAAGTTTATACAACTTTTCTACTATATCCTTTAAATTCGTTTTCCTGAATATACAATATAGATTTATATAAAAACAAGATTACCATGTAAGAATCTATTCTACTTAACCGACGAACTAGAAAAGTAAAGTAGGCAGCAGGAGTAGGAGTATTAGGTAGGATGTGCATACAGAGAGCTGAGAGAATAGGAGTATAAGGTATAGGAAGTTCATTCTCCCCAGGAGTATTAATCTCGTGTAGTATGACTCCTACTAACTCCTCCTATTCAAGGTATACGAGGAGCATGAGTTGATAGGTGAGTGAGAAGTGTTGGAAAAAGCAGGATTAAAGGATGTTAGGCATTAGAAAAAGTAGTAGTAGGAGACATTCTGAATAACATTAGGACCTAGTCCTTTAGTGTTACGCAGGAGCGGCTGAAGCTGCAGGCAGTTAAATATATAGGAGGTGCCTCAGTGGTCCGACAGTCGCGTCCAGTCTTGCGGTCTGGCAAGACACAAAAGCTGACCGTGTCGTATCTTTCAAAGCTGGCACTCTGGCAGTGACACTCGTGCATTGATCTTCTTACTTTAAATTTATCATCCGTTTCTTATTCGCTTCGATTATTCAAGTGAAGTGTTATTAAATATAATAGTAGACTTTAGGAGTGATCGCGTTTAAAGGATCGGCGACGAGAAACTGAGTAAGGCCTTAATTTGTTGTTGAATTGCAAGTGTGACATTAGAAGATCTGGTAATTTTTCCTGATATATTTTCATTTTCCAATGAACTTTAGCATAAATAAAACTAATTCATCAAATAACATTGGTATTTGTATTGCACAAACAAAGGGATTTGTTTTCAATCCCGTTTAAAACAACATTTTTACCTTCAAATGCAATTTCGCTTCAATTAGAAATCAAGCTTACCAGTTTGTTGTACAAATTAAATGGAAATATTGCTCTATTTAATCTGCAACGATTTATGTGTACAAAGGTTGTGGAGATCAAATGATAGAAAAGCATTGGTCTCGATTGAAAAGCGTTGATTTTCTATCGAGACTACTTCTTAAATCAGAGTAATAGCAACGAACAGCTGATCGCAGTTTCATTCATTATGGCACTCCATTGTCAGGATTTGGGAGCTACTTTGAAATTTCAGCAATTTTTTGTAGAATTTGAAGCGTAGATGTAGGTTCAACCTTTTATTCTACATGCTACGTGTATGTAAAAGTTTCATTGAAAATCAGGGAGTACATTCTATTAAATATTTTTGTCTGTATTTTTCAATGAGTCGAGCGATATTTCTTGCTGGAGCTGCGAGATCAAACAACGGGTTTCCAAATTAATTTGCCAGCGGAAGCAAAAAAATTGGTGCGTCTCAATAAAAAAATAAGAAAAATGTCAATAAAAAAATTCAATCGAATATTCTTTTTGTCCACAATGCAGTAAGCCTAAGTAAGTAAACTGCTCGTGCCGGTGCAGCGAAATAGAAAGCGCGCGAGGGCGAAAGTGACCACCCACGAACCGGTTCAGATTATCTTGATTAATCGAGATGAAAGCGTTGCTTGGGTTCTAAATTTAGTATATAAGAAATTAAAAACAAAGAAGATGGGACAAAAATTCACCATATCTATATCAAAAAGTGTTCAGGATATTTTTCAAACGTAAGTCAAGCTTAAATGGAGCACTCCGGTTTTATCCTCTTGAGATAGTAAACTGATATGGGCCTGCCATGCTGTGGAGGGCCTGCCATGCATTTCATGCCATGCATTGCACATTGTGCATTTCAAGTTAATTTGTGTTTAATTTATGAATTTTTGGTTTATTTTGTTTTATTTGATTTGGTTATGGTGAGTTGCAGGCATATTTACAGGCGTATTAACTAATTGAATGTAATTTTCTGGATTGTCGAACTGACGATGGAGCTTGATTCCGAAACATTTTCTTTCATGAAAATAGCTAGAAATTTAAAAGCGAAGAAAACTACACAAAAATTCAGCATATGTCTATTGAAAACGTGAATAGAGATAAGTTTTCAATAGAGATATTCTGAAATTTTTTGGAGTTTTCTTAGCTTTTAAATTTCTAGTGAATCTGCGATTCAAGCAATTCAGTGACATTCATTTCCATGAAAATTTTGTAAATTTTTGTGCCATCTTATTTTATTTAATTTTTGTCAAATTTGTGATATAAGCAATCTAATGATCTTAGTAATTGCTAAAAGATGCTGCAAAGGTTACTTTTTTATCTCATTTAAAAAACCCACGATGTATCGAGAAATGCAATTAATATTTCCAAATTGCCGCCGCGAATAATTTTCCACGTACATTGATAAATTTCTAGCAGATAACCATTTGACTTAGTTACCTCTCAACTTGAACTCTTTAACATTGCTAATGCTATTTCATTTATCGTCATTAATATTCGCCAATTGAAATCAAAATACTTTTAAATTTTAGTTACGAAAATTTTCCTAATGTTAGAATGGACCAATAGTGTGGTATATAATTAATCCCAGGAGTCAGATCCTTTCGCAGGATTGGTATCAATTGTTTATTATATTCTTCAAATGTTGATCCTGTGAAGCAGGGGAAAATTTTTTCTGTTCAAATCTGGAACGTTAATGGGGTGGAGTTGCATAACGGAGGGTTTGGATTAATATCTAAATGGGCTAAAGATAATGGACTTGTAATGTATGCATACATGTAATGCATGCTGTACCATACATGCAATACATGTAAATGTGTGTAATATTAATTGACGTAGGCCTGATAGAATCCCAGCGTTTAATGACAAATTTCAATTACTTGCGTTGGTTATTCGAAAACGACTCAATAACGTCGCCCTCTAAATTGTTGAATTTTTTTTTTCAGAAAAGCATCTTGAAGCTCGGAGAAATGTGGGTGATCGCGATGACGGTGTTTGCCGCGTGTGGTCTGGTGAGTTGCTTCAATTATTTTCCCTAATTTTTGCGATGTATTATCCAAAATTTGCTACATTTTACACTCCTTACAAAACGTGTTTATATCATAAGACTGCTATTAAAATCTTATGAACATTTCTTAACATTTCTTATGAAGGGAATCACCGCTTTTCTAGAATCGAATTTTTTTTTCACTTATTCTGGAGAAAATCGACGATCATTGAAATTTTGGGGGCGCAGCCGTAGGCACAAATTTTATTCTTAAATAAGCCCTGGAGCCAACGTCTAGCTTCACCATGCATTAAATTTACTCAGCCTTAGACCTAGAAGCCGCAGACTACACTTGAACTCCGTAATCCAGACAAGCGACACGCTGCCGTAAGATAGCGCCGTGGGTCTCCAGCCAATGCTCGCTCATAAGCAGGCATGCAGTTCCCCATCCGGCTGTACCTACTCCGGCCTAACCTCTTCTGGCCTAACCAATTCACGCTGTACCGGCTCACAACCTTCTGCAGCCAATGACTGGCTCTACCAGCACACTTGAACCGCCTTTCTAACTTCTTGCAGCCAATGAGGTTAGGTTAGGTCCGCTCAGGTTTGTTTTGGGTGAAGAAAAGTTGCATCTTGTATAGGTTAGGCCTGAAGAGGTTAGGCAAGAGGAGGTTTGGCCAGATGTAGTATGGTCATGTTTACCTGTAGCAAGCTTATTTTGTGGCAGTGGATATCCGGCGCTATTACTTTGAGCACTTGACTTCATAAGCCGTTATGCACTCTAGCGTTCTTACCTATGGAACGGAATATGAACTAAGTGTGATGTTTGGCAAAGCTGGTCTCCGGCATGTGCCCCGAAATTTTCACTCCTAGGATTTTTTATGAGAATTCATATTTTATCTTTTGTTAATTTTCACGTGTTAATTTGGTTGATATAAAGCGTGCAATATTGCGCTTTTGTCGTTGCGTGTTCGAGTCTCACAGACGGACAGAAATTTTTAAAAATTCTGTGCAGTTATCCTCATTGTATTTGCAGGCCAATGCCTTGAACAATTGATTCATGTTCATTTATTTATTTATTTATTACTTTAAATTTCTTTATTTATTGATTCTTTCCTTTAGTAATTATATGTGTCCTAGAGGTTTCATCAAGTGCAGTCTACTATGAGGTCACTTCTTAGTTCGATATTCCCCTAATTCTCAAGTCACGTTTATTATGAATGAACGTAATTTCTAAGTCATATGGATGGATGCGTGTCCTGCGTCTGTACGTTGTTCACTGTACAGGCTGGGGTGGCTGGGCACGGCAGGCTGATGGATCCCATCGCACGGAACGCCATGTGGCGCGCTGGCTTCCCTAATCCCGTCAACTACAACGACAACGAACTTTACTGCGGGGGATTTGTCGGTAAATTATAATTTGTTTGATCTTATGTTCGGTAATCAATCTTTTCTTTAATCTTACTTTCGGTAATCAATCTTTTTTTCAAACTTACGTTCGGTAATCGATCTTTTGTTTGATCTTACGTTCGATAATCGTTCTTTTGTTTAATCTTACGTTCGATAATCGTTCTTTTGATTAATCTTACGTTCGGTAATCGTTCATTTCTTTAATCTTACGTTCGGTAATCGATCTTTTGTTGAATCTTACGTTCGGTAATCGTTCATTTGTTCAATCTTACGTTCGGTAATCGATCATTTGTTTAATCTCTCGTTCGGTAATCGTTCATTTGTTCAATCTTACGTTCGGTAATCGATCTTTTGTTTGATCTTAACTTCGGTAATCGATCATTTGTGTAATCTCTCGTTCGGTAATCGTTCATTTGTTCAATCTTACGTTCGGTAATCGTTCTTTTGTTTGATCGTACGTTCGGTAATCGTTCTCTTTGTTTAATCATACGTTCGGTAATCGATCTTTTGTTAAATCGCACGTTCGGTAATCGTTCTTTTGTTTGATCTTACGTTCGGTAATCGTTCATTCGTTTAATCTTACGTCCGGTAATCGATCTTTTGCTATATCTTACGTTCGGTAATCATTCTTTTGTTTGATCTTACGTGCGGTAATCGATCTTTTATTTGATCTTACGTTCGGTAATCAATCTTTTGTTTGATCTTACGATCGGTAATCGTTTTTTGTTTGATCTTACGTTCGGTAATCGTTTTTTTATTTAATCTTTCGTTCGGTAATCGTTCTTTTGTTTGATCTTACGTTCGGTTATCGTTCTTTTGTTTAATCTTACGTTCGGTAATCGTTCTTTTGTTTAATCTTTCGTTCGGTAATCGATCTTTTGTTAAGTCTTACGTTCGGTAATCGATCTTTTGTTGATCATACGTTCGGTAATCGTTCTTTTGTTTACTCTTATGTTCGGTAATCGATATTATGTTTGATTTTACTTTCGGTAATCAATATTTTGTTTGAACTTATGTTCGGTAATCAATATTTTGTTAAATCTTACGTGCGGTAATCGTTCTTTTGTTTGATCTTACGATGAACTTGAGTTACGATCTACCTTCTGTGGGAAGTTCAAGTTGCTGCTCTTCGATGAACTCAGGTTGTCATCTACTGATATCATAACGATTTGATCCATCAGTCCAGTACCGTACTATAACTATAACTATAACTCGTATTTTAACTACATTGTATACTCGTATTGTAACTATATAACTCGTATTTTAACCATCACTCTATACTGCTTTATTGGTTATATGAACAGTTTATCCATCCACAGTTTCAGTGGTAATATAAATATTTTATTCCTTAGGTCCAGAATATTATGAATATTTAAATATTATATCCTTAACGTTCAGTGCTATATTGGGGATAAAGATAGTTCATCCTTAAATTCAGGAATTATATTGGTAATAAGAATATTACATCTCTCAGTCCAGTACCAGCAGAACGGCGGCAAGTGTGGCGTGTGTGGCGACGTGTGGACGGAGAAGCCGCCGCGCTCGCATGAAGCGGGCGGCCTCTTCGGCAACGCCATCATCGCGAAGCGCTACACGTCAGGCCAGGTAACTGAAGCGCTACACGTCAGGCCAGGTAACTGAAGCGCTGCACGTCAGGCCAGGTAACTGAAGCGCTGCACGTCAGGCCAGGTAACTGATGCGCTGCATGTACATAGAACTATAATTGCAGAATTACTCTGTATGTTTAATTCTGGTGTTCTATAACATTTAATTTAATAAAGTTAATATTAATATTAATAACTTTTTAATCTACGACAGGTAATCGACATAGAGGCAGAACTCACCACAAACCACATGGGCAACATGGAAGTGAGGCTCTGCCCCAACAACGACCCTGACGCGGCCATCACGGAAGATTGCTTCGAAAAGTGCGCATATCTCATTTTTGCTTTGAAAAGTACACATATCCGACTCATTTCAAGTAATTTTTCACACTCATTGAAATGAGTAAAACCTTGTCCAAAAGCGATACCCTAACTGCCCCTGTGTGGGTCATACTGAAACAGATTGGGCCCGAAAACGGCTAATCAGTGGTAAATGCAGAATGTATGTCGCTGTTTCTGCATTAGACCCCATCCATTTACATGCAAGCATGTTAAAAAATTGTTCATATAATTGTAAAAAATAAATTCGCCCAAATAAGGGCACAAATTTTTACCACCACTCGAACAACGAGCAGACATAGATAGCATTGATACGCCCTGTTGCCGAGCAAAACTGGGCAGGGTGGCCCAGTGGTTAAAGTTCAGAGTACCAGGATTGGAGCAGAGAAGCGCGGGTTCGATCCCAGCTCTGTGCGCCAGTTTCTGGTCAGAATCGGCAAGGAGGCCGGGCGGTTAAGCATAGCAGAATTGTAGCAGTGAGTTGCGAGTTCGAGACCGCAAAATGCTGTGAATGTTCTGCGATGTTAAGAATCGGCGACAGGCCTACGGCCTTGGGTTAAAAATGAAACTCTATTAGGACTCGCTTGATTTTTAACCTAGTCTAAAAAATAATTTCTATCGGTCCAATGATTGGTTACTATCACCACACGGACAAATGATGACTCACTATCACCACGCAGGTATCTGCTGGGACTGGCAGATGGATCAGACTCCGTTTTCGTCATTCCGGAAGGTACGAAGAAGTCGGAAATTTTTCGTTGGAAGGTCAAGCTTCCGGAAGACGTGACTTGCAGCCACTGCGTCATCCGTTGGAAATATTTTGCTGGTAAATTCGTCATAAAATATTCTAGAAGCATGGAATTACCATGATAAATAGGTTTATCAATGTTTTGTGAATCGGACACCAGAAATTCGTTCCTGTGATTAAACTTTTCCCCTTTCACAAGATGAATTTTCCATTAAATTTTCGTAGCTCGGAAATATTTCATTACTCTAGAAAACCCATTAATCTTTTCGCCATATTTATGAAGGATTTAATGTAAACTACTATTTGAAAATGAACAGGTAACACGTGGAGCCCGTTTTCCTTTTAATCTAACACCGTGTATTGCCGCCCAGGTAACACTTGGGCCGGTGTTCCGTATAATTTTACTCCGTATTATCACTCAGGTAACACGTGGGGTAAATGCGATAACGGGTCAGAGAGCGTGGGCTGCGGAAACCAAGAAACATTCATCAATTGTGCTGACGTCATCATCAACTCTAACACGGCAACTGCAGCGGCGACGTCAGACTTCAACCCCTGGGCGCTGTACTCCAGCAGAGATAACGTGGTTCAGAATGTCAGCGCTGAGGAGGCTGCTCAGCAGGGGCTCAAACCGCTCATCATAAGGTATATATAAGATATTGCAGCTATATATTGGCCATTGTGGTATGTAACGGGTATGTACCTGTATGTCAGGTAGGTGTCAGGTATGTATCAGCCATAATAGCCAATAGGTTTGCATCAGGTGAGCATCAGCCTTTAGAGGTATGTATTAGGTAAGAGAATCAGGTATTTTGGGTATGTATCAGGTATGTATCAGCCATTATATTTATGTATTTGGTATTTATCATATGAGTCGTTGTAGGTATGAATCAGGCGTGAATCAGCCATTGTATGTATGTACAGCATCAGCCGCAGTAGTTCAGTGATAGTCATTTATAGTTGCTGGTGGGCGGCACTTAATAGGTGCATGTCGAAGGTGGTGCCTCAGCTTGACTGAGTATTTCAATGTTGGCCCCACGAAGATAACTTGCGTTGCTTGCACCGTAATCGTGAAAATATTGGCATTAAAATGAAAATTGAGTAAAAATATATCTGTAGAGAACTTAGGTCTATTTCATTAATCGCTATCAATAAATCATCAACAACTTCAGATTTGTGAGCATTGATTTTATAATGAAATATTTAATGACTGTTCAGAGCCCAGCGCTGCATACCAATTGACCCCTTCCATAACGTTGCCAACATGGACATGTGGTGCATGATCAACTGCCTCAAGTACCCTCCTAACTGCCACCCCAGCTACTGCAAATGCGTGTAAGTAACTCTCGATTACTTTCTAGTAAATGACTGTTGTTAAATTATATATACTGAACTGCAAATGCCTGTAAGTAACTCTTATAATTACTTTTAGATAAATTTCTGTACGCAACAGATGTTCAATGTGCTTGTGATGCGAGCGAGTGCAGAGTATAAGTTTGATTGTAACGATGGTTGATGCTTACTGCCACGCACCCTTCGTCCAAGTTAGCATCTTCGAGATTCTTTAGTTTCATTGTACGCCGAAAAGTATACTGGAAAAATTGATCCAATTATGAATGAATTATGATTTATGAATTTCCCTGCAGACACGACTGCAGCGCAGTGGGGGAGTTCGCCCTGATAGAAGACGCTGACATCTGGTGCCATCAGAACTGCCTCAAGCATCCCTCCTACTGCCCTCCGGAGCGCTGCCACTGCGTCTAAATTAAGTCACACTTCTTCATCCACCAGGGGCCGTACTATCAAAACTCGCTTAAATACACGTAGCGGCCTAAGTACACGTACAGGCAATTACACATTGCGGCTCATGAATACGTCGTGGCCCAAATAAACATAGCGGCCTAAGTACACGTAGCCGCCGATTTTTCCCTTATGATAGGTATGTTTAGCTTGTAAGCTGCCAGGGATTGGCTGACGGAGTCGCGAACTTGTAACTTTTATTTATAGTGCGGCCCCTGGAAACTACATTCTGTTTTTTTCCCTAATTTGAAATTAGACGAACAGTTTACTGCGTTAACTGGCTGTAGAATCGCGGAGCTCTAGAACTTCTAACATCCGCTCCTACTCTGCTTTACACAAGTCTTGCTTCAATATGTCTTGCTTACTGTATTACTGTAACATTTCTTAGTCATGATCGCTCTCACCTACTGTAACAATACATTTATTGCTTCAACAATCCAGTGACAAAAAAGTTCTCATATGGCGAAATGAGTAATGCTGACTTTATCTTGGTTTTAGGCGCATAGTTTTTTAGTTATATTCAAGGGATTTAATAGAAGCTATAGATATAACATAAAAATAAATGAACGACTGAGAAGGTGAGGTTTGCTCAGGAAAATGTGGGTTGAAGCTGTGACTTGAATAGTGCTCAAAAGTTAAGCTCTTTTTTTATCACTTTATCACTTCATATTTATTTATTTAAATAGTTCGTCGGCGAATACTTATATCTAGTATGAATAATGGCAAGACGCCAGAATTTATAAGTGTGAATTTTACAAGACTTTTAATTATACCTACAACCACATGTCTGCAGTCATGACCAAGCTGCCATGCCGCAAACCTGTCATTTTCGTTTAGAAAAAGATTTGAATTTCCGAGTGATGCTAAGAAACAATTGTATAACATTGGATATACGTAGGTAAATGCACGATCATTTTCGTGCGCTCGATCACACCCTCACCACATGAAAGTCAGATCTACCAAACGAGGTCTGGAGGTCTTAGAAAGTATAATATTCTAATGCAAAACTCAGAATTTAGCTATCAAAACAATAAAATGTTAACAAATTTAGGGTCCACAGAAAAATTAGGAGTTAAAATTAAAAAAAAAGCAAAAATTTACAGATGCATTATCAAATTGGCAAAAACTAATTTTTCAAATATTCTGACAACGATTAAATTTTTCCCGTTTATACTGAAAAGCGTTCTTCAAAAAATTGCCGGCCGTCATACCAATAAAGCCGGTCACTCTAAGTTGATCGGCAGCGATACGAGCAGAGAGGAGGTCCGTGGATTTTTCATGTACAAGGACCAGGTTCCTTCACGTATGTCAAAAATGCCTGCGAAGAGAGTTCAGGAAGATCAATTCTACACAGACCGCAATAATTTGAAATGTTACCGGCGATTCATTTACATTCATATTTCGCCGAATTATAATTATTGTCTACGATTTTGCAACCGAAATGTTATTATCTTTTATTTATAACCTAATAATTATTATTTATAACCAAATAATCAAAGTTTATTATTCCCGGCACTGTAAAACTTAAAGGGAAATGAATAATACGCTCCTTTAGCAAACCTGTCTAAGCCATTGAATTTACAGCAAATTCTGCAGTGATTTATTGATGGAAATTTGTGAAAACGCAAAGTGAACATAGACTGCAAGCAGAGATTACGTCATCCTGCTGAAACAAAATAATAAATTTGGTGATTCTGTTACAATGAAAATAGAAAGAAAAACAGTAATTCAGTAGAAACAGTAGTAATTAATTTGGAAGGAATGGAATGAATTACCTACAAACAACAGGTATAATTCTATAGAAAGAAGTGTTTGCTTTGGTGGGAAATAGGATTAATTAATGAAAACAAGTGTTACTAGATAAAAAAAATGTTACTTGATAAAAAATAGTGTTGCTTGTTAAAACCGTATTAATTGGAATAAACAAGTGTTTCTTGATAAAAACAATATTATATGGTTAAAACAAATGTTTCTTGGTAAAAACATTGTTACTCAATAAAAACAATGTTTCTTGATATGAACAATGTTACATGATAAAAATAAGTCTTATTTGATGAAAAACGTTTGATCTGCTATTGAAACAATTGCTACTGGCACAAATAAAAAATGCCAAAAAAAGTCGACAATGCAATTTTTACATGGGCTAATGATTACTACGCACCTAGCGTGACGCTAGAGACACCCTCCTGCCCCTCCCAGAAGATGGGGTATTCCGTATCCTAGGTACGCACCTAGCGTGACGGTAGAGACGCCCTCCTGCCCCTCCCAGAAGATGGGGTACTCCGTATCCTAGGTACGCACCTAGCGTGACGGTAGAGGCGCCCTCCTGCCCCTCCCCGAAGATGGGGTATTCCGTATCATGGGTACGTACCTAGCGTGACGGTAGAGACGCCCTCCTGCCCCTCCCTGAAGATGGGGTATTCAGCATCCTGGGTATCTGAGAGCAGCTCCAGCAACGCAGCCCGGCAGTCGGGTTCTGGACACGCCTGGGCGCGGGCATGGCGATGGCTGCTGCTCGCGTCCTCGTACTCCAGGTCCTCTGGCACCGACAGCCGCAGGTACCTGGAAAACAGCTGCAAGTTAAAGGAATTTACAGGAGTTGGTAGAGTCCAGCACTTGTAACATGTAAGAAAACAGTTGCAAGTTAGGAGAATTTACCGGAGTTGGTTGAGTCCAGCACTTGTAACATGTAAGAAAACAGCTGCAAGTTATGAGGATTACAGGAGTTTGTCAAGTCCAGCACTTGCAACATGTAAGAAAACAGTTGCAAACTAGGAGAATGTACAGGATTTGTCGAGTCCAGCACTTGTATAACATGTAAGAAAACAATTGGAAGATAGGAGAAGTAATAGAGCCAGCAATAGGGCACATCAAATCGTTTGACATGCCCAACCGGGCATTCTTTAAGCGGACCTACATAGATGAGAATTGAAACCTCACATCTTTCCATTGTCATCTATGTTCGTTTGTTCCAATTGTCATTTATTAGTATAGGTTGGCAGAATTTCTTCTTTCAAGCAGGTTTCATTGAAGACCAGAGAATTTGTTTTATTCGCAATTTTCTTATTAGTTTTTTCAATATATCGAACAATATTTTTAGTTTGAACTGGCAAATCGAAAATCAGGTTACCGATGGACATTTTTATTTCGTTAACGACGTTTCGAATGTTTCTATCATTCATTATCAAGTTAAAAGGCGCATTGAGTGATGAAATTACGAACCAGCTCTACGCCAGGCTGCAAAAGATCTCAGAGATAACGACCAAATTGTGATCCGTAAAGCCGACAAGAGTAATTTGTTTGTTATTTTGGACAAAACTGAATATCTATCAAAAATCAGCGACATTCTTTCCGATGACACCAAATTCTGCCGCATCGCACGAGACCCAACGGAACAACTGCAAAGGAAAGCTAACAAACTGATCAGCACTGCCAACTCCGTTGTAGGGCCTAGAAAACTCACGCCTATCGTCGGAAGTTACTCTCCCGGGTATCTCTACGGAAACG